TTGGGCTACTCTTTTACCAACGAATAGTGGGATTGACCGTAACATTATAACGCCCCTACGGCTGAAAGGGCGAACATGTTTGGTGGGGCGGGGATCCGAAATCAGATAAGTAACCTTTCAAATAACAGCACATTCCACCAAGGAAAAAGGGTAGTGTTCTGTATTTGATAACTTGGTTGAGTTTCTTTAAGTGTGAAATAATGAGACTGTACAAATGTAAATAAGTGAACAAAGTATTTATTACTAGCGTATAGCCTGTCAAAAATGATGGGGCAAGTACTACCACCCCACCCCATAGTATATCCTAACCTCACATTTCATAGCTAACTGAAATAAATACATTTTGCGAAATCAAGCTTGACCTATAAAGAGGCACAAAAATGCAGTCGAGGTGGTCAAACGTCAATAAATTCCTTTGTGGGCCATTCAAAATTAAGATAACTCATGAAATGAATTCATGGCATATTCATAGAATAAGTATTGGTAAAAATCAGTTTGATATACAACCTCTAATATGAAGAAAAGTCGGTGCGTTTTGGTAACACTACGTTCCAACAATGGCTTTTATGTCACGTTGTTTAGCAATAAAAATATAACCTAATAGTTAGTTTATGTACTGAAAGTACAACCTAAAATGTATAAACAAAAAAACTGGAACAATATTTGTTGATATCTTAATTTAGAGTCTCCGTTGATTAAAGAGAGTTTTTTAATGTTGGTGATATAACAGAAAATAGCTTAATTCAGAAATGATTTAAGTTTAGAATTGAATCGATATTTTTACTTTCATGATAAATTTTATGCACTTGGCTCTAAGCTAGGTGATTCCAATCTGTGTCTTTACTTTAGGCTTATTATATTAACACTCACTACACTTGCAAGGTTTCACGGCACGACCCCTTGCATCCCCGTCATTAAAATCGTAACGGGCAGACAGTAAGGAAGCTATTTTATCTGGATAAATGCATTTTAACTTTTATGACTCCTCCTATTTTGAGAAATCAAGCGTGACATGACACATACTGGCTTTTAGATGACAAACAAACAGACAGTGTGTGTACTTGTGCAGAGAGAACTATAGTAGATTTTATTGAAATGTGTTTAGCTGCACAGCATTCTTTTTCTCACGATTAATCTTCATAGAGCTAAAACATGATGTTCTTGAAGTATGTCCTCAATCAACCGCCTCCCAGTGGTTCATCAGTAAGTCTGAAGGCTCCCATTGCTAGAACCCAGGTTTTGATACTTGTGTTGGGCACAGCACAGATACCTCACTGTGTAGCTTTGCCCTTATAAAGAAACAACCCTCCCCCCCCCCCCGATGGTACAGTGGTAAGACCATGGACTTACAATGCTAAAATCTGTGGTTTGATTCCTCGTGGTGGACTCAGCAGATAACCCAATTCACTCACGCATTTCCTAGCAAGACTGGCTCAAGAAAGTGCACCTGAATTCAATATATAAACTTACTTTCTTTGTCCATTTCACAGTGTCACTTTGAGACCTTTCTTCTCTCACAGCATTGGCTAGTTGTATTATCTAGTCAATGTCAACTCGGCCAGCAAAGGATGCTTATATGTTGCTGCAAAATCCTTTCGGGCAGAATAGACATCATTTACTATAGAGAACAAATAAACTAAGCAATTAGAAGAAGGCAATCCCAACGACTTTCTGAACTATATATTTATGCTAAAACTCCATACACAATACATAAACATTAACATTTTAAAAATTTCCATAGAACATGCTTAGCTGTGTATGGCAAAGTTCAGTGATCGAATTTGTAATATTCCACCAAACACACTTTTCACTTTCAATTGGAGGCGCGTTACAGAATGGACAGTTAACCTCACTATTCAATTAAGAGTACCTATGTATGTGCCAGGTCCTGCTAACTGGTTGCCATCTTTTTGGTTTGCAGTTCAAAATTAGTTAAGGTTATGCCTGAACCTAGTTAATTAGTTCGGCAGTCAGATAAAGTGCCATTTTGGATAGAAAGACCAAATAGATTTCTAGTATTAATACCAAAATTCTAAGTGAGTAATTAGTAAATTCGTCTATCTAATAGTTAAGTATATCATGTGTCAAAATGTAGGTTCAATAAAATGTAACAGCATGATTTTATTAACATGCAAAGTTTAATTTCACAGTTGAGTGAAAGTTAGACTAGGCATAAGTGTATCGAAAATGTTTTCAGATAAGTTATCTATTTCATACGCGAATGTAGGATAATTCCTGCAATTCGTTTATCAAAATTTAAATTTGCAAAAAATGTTGATACAATCTTTGTATTTCTTCAATAAATTATCAGTTCTTTTTCTTAAAAGATCCATGAATTATCCGTTAGTACGGTGATAAGGAAATACTTTTTATTGTGCTGTGGTTTCCAGGTTTGCAATATATTGTTTATATATATATCAAAATATAACTTTTTTCTGCATTTGCTTAATGCATATCAAATCATATAAATAACGTAAATCATCAAAAACTCGCTTATTCTTTAAGCTTAAAAGTATTTTCATTCTCTGTGTGTGTGTGTGTGTGTGTTTACATGTATATGATAAATAATACGTAGTTCCAATGCAATTTTAATTTAAGTTTGTTTGTTTATGCGCAAATATATTAAGCTGCACAATAGCCTATCTGCGTTTTGCCGATCATAAGTACTGAGCCCGAAGTTTTAGTGTTATATGCCTTCAAGTTTACCGCTGAGCCACCAGAGGGCTATGTTCCTATATAACATACTTATGTAAAATTATTCCAGAAACTTTTCTCACAAAAACATACCTTGTAACTTTGGAAATTTTTTGATCATTTTTTTTATCCTCTGGTAAGCTTTTAAGGAAATCTAATCTTTTGCTATTTTATGTAGTTTCTGTTTCTAGATACATGTGATAGTGTTATGATGAAATTGTTAATTTGATTTATGTGTTATATATATACACTACTCGATTCTTGTATGTCAGTCACTCAATCATTTATTATAGAATCACTTAATTTCACTTTGCTTTGTTTTTGTTGTTCTATTTTTTCATTCCTTTCAACATGTCCTTTTTGCTGCAGAATAATTATAAATGCAGCATTTTCCTATTTATATATTGTAGGAGGAATGCGAAATATTTTATTTTCTAACAGAGAGATACACCAACTTGTGAATTTGTATACCTTTTATATTTGTTATCTCTATTTTGAATATTTCTGTAGACCATATAATAATTATATCCATATCCACGTTTTCAAGACATTTTAACTGCACAATTACAAAAATATAGGTTACAACACTTGATGAATCTATTTCGTTTAGCGCTTCTGACGACAGGTTTATAGAATTAACAGAAATCGTTTTGTAAACGAATATGAAATAGTTATGATGGATGAAAAGAAATCTATAATATCTTCTTAAAATGTTCACTTTTTTGTTTGTTAAATATTGAACAATATAGGCATCATTGAACTGTTGTATTACCAATTCTTTTTCTGAAGATATATATATATTTGTAGAGTATATATCTAAAGCTTTAGGGCCATTAACATGATTAATTAATACCTAGTTTATATATATATAATTTCGTTTTGTATTATAGTATAAACAATCTGGTTGAACTACTTAACTACAAATAGACTTAATTCTGTTGTTGTTGTTTTTTGTGTGTGTGTGTGTGTGTGATATGGACCAAACAATGATTTTTCTAGTGCTCAAATTGAAGTTTTTACGTTATCTCGTTTGCTGCAGCTTTGAGCCACAGATACTTTTAAAAGGTTTTGCAGCTTATATTTTTGAAGCCTATATTAAGATTACTCACCAAGAACATTCATCACGAACTCTATTGTTTATAATGTATTTTGTAATAAGCAAAAACCACAAAATACTTTCGAATTTGTGTCCGTGGTATTTGATTAATTGAAATGGAGTAACAGTTAAACAATCAAGCAAAAAAAAACAAACAGATAAACATCTTCATACTTCTAGAATGCTGTATGGCAATAAATTTATGATCTACCTCGAATTGGAAAATAAAATAATTTTCATTTATTGCTATTGAATTTTTAATGAGCGTAATTATTATAATATTTTATTATTAAAAAGAAATTAATTACACTTATAATGAAAAACCACATTGATAGATAAAAATATCAGAAACTCATACTATCATGGATTTAGACAATACAAACTGACGGTGCTTCTGAGTGGTTGACCCCTAAATACGCAAGCGCACTAACGGTTGTGGTGGCCATTCCAAGACTAGCATCGTGATAGAGCACGTCATTCTGTTGGAGGAGAGTTAATTCGAAGAAACAAATTGAAGTAGGTTTGTTTGTTTGTTTATTTTTTACATCACGTGATCAGATTTGTTGAACTCTGTCAAGATCAATTAATTTTTCGCAAGAAAATTTTAAGTTTCAGAATTTTAAGTTGTTCTTAACTGTTAAGTCAGTCAGGGAAAATGGCGTCAGCAGCGACGAGCCCACAAGCGGGCTCCTCGCGAAGGAAGGGAGGGAAGCGACCGTCACTAGACTCTACTAACGGCCCCACCACCGAGGTGAAAACTGAATCATCAAGTCCAAAGAAATTCAAGCAAATAGAAGATACCACTCCCGTAAAGACCAAGAAAGAAAATACAGAACGTAAGTGATTGTTTTAAAACTTGAATTATGAAATTCTCTTGTAGTTCAAGGCATAATGGCCGACACAAAGAACAGACAGTATCAGGGAGGTGGATGCCGTGTGGGGTAAGGGCTATCGGCGGCGGCATTGGCTGGCTGTTCAGCTAGGAAGTTTTAGCACCATTGGGAGCAGCTGAGGCTTGACTGCGTCAGCGACTGCCGGGGAACACACCAGCTGCGCCGCGTGACTGCGTCCCTGGGCTTGGTCTGACGTGGGGGGCCCCAGGTTACCCTGTACATCTGTAACTTTGTCAGATATCTGTGCCCGTTCGCTCGTTTGGCTTGCCAATCGATTATGAATAATGTTTGATTTTTGCCTTGTCGAACATTGCAATTAATAGTAGAATAAATGTATATTATAGTTTACCTACATTTCGGTTATCCCTTTTTCCTAATATCTTATTAAACCAGTTTTTATTTACTTTAGTTTGAATGGAAATTAGAACGTACAAATTGTCATTGTAACTTGATAAACTAAAGTACTTATTTAAGTAGTACAGATTAAATTTTTTATTAATTAGATCACACTGGATTATGATTTGGGTAACATTACTATCAGTGCGTGATATTTTCAGCTTAAATTCCTTAGAGAACCGGTTATTGTCGAAGTTTCCACATCGTAGCGTGAATCACTCGAGAAAAGTTGTTCTCATCTTACGGTTAACATTTTAGAAAGCCCCGTTGTTGCTTCCAGCCAAGTCGTTTGGGGTACAACAAGTTTGTTTGAGGAAGTAGTCGGCAAACATGCATCAGACGGCCGATTATAGCGTAGGTCTGCGGGAAGTAAACTTCCCTCGTTTCGCGCTCTTTAAACCTAAGCAATGGCTGATTTTAGCACAGAAAATTTACTTTAATCCAGTTATTGGTGTATTACACCTTGAATATTTATGTTATGAGTAAATATTTGTTCATTTTTAATTATTGCAGATTTATGAATGTTTTTATTCTAGTTGTACCATCATGTTTTGAAATGTAGAGTAGCTGGAAAAACATGACTTGTTAATTTAATAATTGACTGTTAAGTTCTCCTGTTATTAAATTTGTATTCGTTTAAGCATATTCAGTTATCCAGTGTAAGTAACCTTTTATATATATTTCAACCCCCATTATAAAATTTATCTTACAAAAATTTCTATCGAGGAGCTTGAAATCAGCCATTACTTGTTTGTCTTGCCCTACTGTTTCCGTGGGGTGGAAACTTCAGTTCGTACCAGCTTGGCCCACTAAGCGTTCAAAAACTTAGACTTACTACAGCAGCTTTTCGCGCGCGTGTCGCGTCACCAGTACAGATAGTTCTACAGCGGGAGCGATAACAACAAGGTACGGGGTGGGCGTTAGGCAGTATGGCGGATAATCAGCTAACGAAGCACTCTCCCTGTCGGTTGTGTGCTTTGTCAGAGCGAGGTTTACGTGGCTTGAGCCCTGGTATTTTATCTAAAAGGCGGAAACAGGGTTGTTTTCACGTTCTCTCACTTTAGTGTCATACTTGATGTTTTTCGTTCATGCTTTCTTTAACTCGTATCAACATTATAACCATAAGCACTGTATATGACATATCATAACTGGTGTTAGCCAGTAAAAACGGAGAAAGTGCGTACGCTAAAATAGAAATATTGGTTGATAATATTTAGTTTTTTCCATACCACAGCAATTTAGGATATTTTTCAATCCATAATATGTAACCTGCATCCAACTAATAAAGTAATAAAACATTCCATCAAATCAAAAATGCTGGATTAGCAAGATACTCTTGTTCAAGGGCCAATGCTGGAATACCAGTTCTCAGTTAAGGGCCCATACTAGGTTAACAAGTTTGCAATAGAAGGTCCTACTCAACTACCAGAAAATCTTGGTTTAGGAACCCACAGAACTAGTGTTGGCCATCAATGGATCTTTCTTTTTATCAGTTTAGTGACTAAGTCAAATATAAGCTGATATCAATGCTGATGATAGAAGTCCATCTAACATAATATCTTTATTTTTGTTATAACCTATAATTGAATTTTGGTAATGATGTGTAGAATAAGCCAGTCTTTGAAATTTTTTATCAAATCTTATGACTGGTTTTGTATTCAAGGTTAGATGTTATAATTTATTGTTGGACAGATGAACAAAGTGACCGAACTTGATGAACAAAAAAATTGTCACATTTGATAGGAATATCTCTTTTGAGGTCAATTTTTTAGGGAACCTCCAGATGTATTTGGTGTGTACATACATTGAAATGTGCACTTCTTAGACATAACATAAAAATCATCTAAGAAAAATTAGAGTAATTATAAACAAAGAACTCATTAAATATGTAATATAACACAAAAATATTTTATTCATCAGCCCTTGTATTTATAAATTTTATTACCTAAGGAATAGTTTCCTACTTCTGATATGGTCTTTCTTCTACTCACACAAAGCTATCTCGATCTTCTGTCCCCTAAGCATTGCTAAAAAATTTAAAGATCAGCACACCAGTCTATATACCCCACAAATATCATACCACTTTTAAATATGTATTTACCATGTGACCACCATCCACCAATAGTATAGCACCACCTATATTGGCACAGGTATCTTTTTTTTTTTATGTTTCCACTCAATCCTCACTTTCTCTGTTGGCACAGCATCGTTTAGGCGTGTGTTCTTTTTTTCGCATGTAACTACCGTTTACAGTTGTACTTCATTGAGATTCCAGTACCTTCTTTCAACAGTTTTCTTTTACTGTGTTTGCATTCAGTTGTTTAAATTTTTGCATGTTTTACTGTTACCGACTGATATGGTAACTTAGAATGACTTCAAGATTCAATGTATCAACAATGGAAGTTTCCATTACAGTAGACAATGCTTCTGGTATGACTACTCAGGTATCAGGTTGGCCTTTATCTGCTGAGGAGGTACATACCTTATTTTACAAGGAGCTAGATTCCTAAGTTCAGCCAGCATTTTCTTATTATTTTCAACCTGACAATGTTTCTGAGAATGAATACAATCAATGAGAAAGAAAATTGGATTCACTTTTTCCGGCACCTTCTTAAATTGGTCTGTCACACTCTACACTTTTTTTTACTGGGGGTTAATCAGGTATGTGGTGCATTACATGTTTTCTTTTCCTCCTAGCTTGCAGATGTCATGGATTGGATAGTTATGCTATTAATGTTACCAGAATCTTCTACCATTTCCTTTATGTTGTCATATATCCAGATTGGTCCTTCCTCTGTTGTCTGGGAAGGTCATTTGGCTTTTACACCCATTTCTTTACCTTCCATCTCCCACCTATACTCCCTTTCTGATCCCAATTAGCTTCTTTGTCAGGTTCAAACCCAACAGTGTTATGTGGCACATACTGCCTCCTTTCGGGGTTCACTTTCCAGACCTTTTAATACCTAGGACTCCTCTGTTTCCTGTATTCTATCTCTTGTCACACTAACTGCTTGGGTTCATCAACTCCTTATGCTGGCATATTCTGCTGTATCCTCAACATTTCTTCTCATTAAATTTTTCATATTGCCATGTTTTTGGCTCCTCATTTTTGCCATCCATTGGAAGAAATCTTTCAAGCTGGAATGTAGACTACTCCCAATTCCTTTGATCCTCATTACCTGCACTATCTGGTTGTATGTTTCTCATGTGGATATCATCTCCCTCTCATGGTGATTTTACACATGTCCATTTGCCTTTTGACTTGAGTGTGTCTTTTCACATTTCATTTATGTTTTTTTTTCAGGGAATCTCTTTTACAGCTACTAATAAGATTCCACTCTGTGGCAAGTGTTGTCTGGTAGGTGTGCTTTTACTCAAACTTGCACTATATACCAATAGAGTCATGATGCTCACTGTAGAGATGGGATGTTCCACAAGACCACTAGTGGAATGTTTAATGGTATATACTCATGTGTCTCTACATATCCAGAAGTTTAACTCAATGGTGGATTGTCTTGAGTAAAGTAAAGGGGGCTTTCTGCCCTTTGATTGCAAAAATTGGGGATGGTCTGCTTTTCAAAATAAGGAATCATGGACACCCATTGCACTTTGTCCAGTGTGACATTCCTCAGTACTCCCCACTGCATTTACTCTCCAAGTGGAAAACAGGAGTCCTTACCATGTCTCAGTCATTAGGATGGTGGATGAAGGAGACTTCCTCCTGAGTGTGAAGCAGAAATTTACCTTACAATACAACCATACATTTGTCCACTCAGTAAGAAGAGGGCAAAGGTGGGTTTTTTCCTTTCCTTTCCCCTGGATGCTTATTGCCAAGTGGACTGATTGTTGGTTGAAGTAAGACTAATCTATGCTGGATCCTCTTTATAATACTAGGTTCAGGATGCTGCTGCCTTGTTCCCATGGTTGAGTGCAGTAGAGACCCCCTTCTCATTAATTCTGGTTGCAGGAGGTTTCCTTTCCTGCTCTTATACTTGACTTTGGGGCTTCATCTGCCTTGTAATACCAGCAACAGGTTGTACATACACTGTTCCTACAGTTGAGCAAATATTTCATATCCTCCTTGTAATTATGAGTGCAGGATGTGTCTTCCCTGCATTTACTGTTGGTTGAGTTAGGATTTTTGCTCTTAATACTGGTTACAGGTATTGTCCTGTTCTTACAATTGAGTTGAGGCAATGATAGTACCCCGTAATGCCGGGTTTGGTTTGTTGTACTTCTTGCTCTTCAGTGGTTTTGGGAGTTTGTCTGGTATTGGTGGAATGCTAACTTCCTCTATGTAATTCCAACTGTTTACATACAGTTTGGGTTGGTATCTATATATTACACAATCCACATGCCCTAGCCACAATGTTTATGTTACTCAAATTTATTTTTTTTTATCTGGGTGATCCTCAACCTCCTAATGTCAAGGGTGGGTTATGGAACCTCATCTGTCCGGTTGAGTGTGGGTGGATACCTAACAGTGGCTAGTTGTTTTTCTCCTTCGTCATGTTTTTTGGTGAACTGTTCCTTGACTTGTCATTTATCCTCATGTGAGTATCAAGTTCACTTTGGGTTTTTGTTTCATAGAGCAGCTCTTCACCCACGGAAGCTGGCTGATTTCTGGTCTGGTTTGTGCAGTGGAGGACAATTAAAACTTATACTCATTTTTAGTATGGATTGCACCTCTCAGAATGAATAACACTTGTACACATCCTGATTTTCAGCCCACATCAGGGTCATTTCCTTCTTACAGGGTGAAGAGCATACCTGTTCCAGAAGTAGTGCAGTGCCCCACATGTGTGCTTCAGTTTCGTCTCTTGAGCACACCAATTATTTCTAGGTGGTTGCTTTTCACTGTTAGGTGCCTAAACCAGCTCTTCTACCTTTTCAATGTGGGATTCTAGGTTTGTGTGAGAGAAGGTAAGACTGTATTGAAAGTTAACATTTTCTTACACTGAAAATGTATTTCCAGTAAGTACTTACCTTCTTTCACACCCTTCCTCCCTATTGCTGGTGTTTTTCATTTTTGATCCTGCCAATCCTTGAAAGAGAGGATTGAGTGGGAACATCAGATGGAGCTAGCTTCACCAGTATAGGTGGTGATATACTGTTGGTGGAGGGTGATCACATGCTATGTACATGATCAAAAGTGGCACAAAATGTTTGGGGTATATAGACTGGTGAATTGAGCATTAAAATTTTTTAGCAATGGTAAGGGGCAGAAACAAGATCAAGATAGCTTTGTGTGACAGGAGGTGAGTACCTACCAGAAGTATATTTTAAGTGTAAGAAAATGTTACTATTGTGTGTGTTTGGGAAAGTTACAAGTCAAATTGTTTCAGAAACAATGGTCAGGCTTTGTACTTTTTCTGTCAATAATAAGTCTTGTATATATTGTTGTGATTTATGATTTGAATCTTAATAGATTTACAGACCCTTCAGATATACCACAAATATATATTATATAATTTGGGTTAGTTACTGTGTACATGCAAGATATTTTTAAAGGAGAATCAAACAAAGTAAGGTGGTTTCTCATATTTTCAAGCATGCTTATATTTCTATGTAATATATAATAGTTGTATTTTTAATTTGAATCTGAAGTATTTAAGATTTATAGTGCTTTTCTGATTTTATCAAATTCATAACACTGATATAGCTGAGTAAATTTGGTGATACTTAATCATATAGCTTCATCTGAAGTTATGGTTTAATGTGACTGATGGTATAAATGCAATGTGCCAATATATATATATATATATATATATATATA